CCCCCGAGGCCCAGCCACCAACAGGCGCTGCCCTCCAGGCGCTGTGCCACTCTGCGACGCCCAAAGAGACTGGGCCATTCTACGCCCCGCGCTCCTGCCAGGACGTCGGGGCGGACGCAGCCGTGCCGACGAGGCCCGTCTGGGAGGCCCCCAGGGCGCGGAACGCGCCAAAATCTTGGAGGCCGAGTCCTCCTCCCCCTCCCCCCTCCCCTCTCGGGCGCGGGCCAGGTCGGCGCAGCGCAAACCCGGCTCAGCCAATTTATGACAACTGCGATGCCTGTTTCCGGGGCTTCAACTCATACGGTCAGGAACTTTTGGATAGCGTGTCGCGGCAGGCGGCCACGACGACACGCTGTGCCCTGCAAGCGGATGGCGTTTCGCTCCGCTTGCAGCCTTGGAGTGGCTCGGGACGTTGAAACTGGGGGGCTGGGAAACGGATAGCGTGTCGCGCCGAAGCGTGGTGTGCCAGATCCCGCAGTTCCCGACGGGCCGCGAGCGGTTCCCAAGCCTGGCTCAGCCACCTGGCAATGTAGGATCGTGCAGGAGCTGGCGCTCTGGCTAAGCCACATGTGCGCTGAGCCCCATGACCTGCCAGCAGACCCACCCCGTGGCCATCTTGTGTCACACTCGGTTGGGCCAGACTCGGGGAAGCGGTAGGACGCCTTGGCGGCCGTGCTACGAAGCGTGTCGCGCGCCGCAGCGTCGAACGCGCCATACTTGCTGTGGCACGAGCGATAGCGACCGTACATTCCCCCTCCCAGGCCCTCCGCGTCGTACATCTTGATGGCGCTGGGGTAGTTGAAGCCCTGGAGCTCGCGCACCTGCCCAGTGAGCTGCTGCTGGTGCTGGTCTTGGTGATTATTTTGCTTCACCTCCACGTCCTCGTTCTTCCCCCAATTCTGACTCTTTTCTGTTCGCCTCCTCCGCCTCCGCAACACTGCCGTTTCTCATCCTCCTTCTCCTCCTCCTCCTCCTCTTTTCCTCCTCCTCCTCCTCCTGCTCATCATCATCATCATCATCATCATCATCATCATCATCATCATCATCATCATCATCATCATCATCATCATCATCATCATCAACATCATCATCAGCAGCAGCAGCAGCAGCACCGTCATCATCATCATCATCAGCATCATCATCATCAACATCATCAGCATCCCCACCACCACCAGCATCATCACCATCACCATCAACACCACCACCAGCATCATCACCATCACCATCACCGTCTTAATCGTCATCGCCATCATCATCAGCATTAGTATCATCATCATTCGCATCATCATCATCATTATTACCACCTTCATGGCCTTCAGCATCATCACCAACACCATCACCGTCTGCATCGTCATCGCCATCATCATCATCATCAGCATTAGCATCGTCATCATTATCATCCTCATGATCTTCAGAATTGTCGACATCGTTCTTACCATCACACCCACCACCACCATAATAACCATCGCCACCACCACGATCATCACCACCATCATCATCATCATCATCATCATCATCATCATCATCATCATCATCATCATCATCATCAGCATCAGCATCAGCATCGTCACCATCGCGATCATCGTCCGCATCAGCATCAGCATCAGCATCATCATCAGTATAACAAGTTTCGGCATAACCCTTATCAGCTTCAGCATCAGCATCCTCCTCCTCATCATCATCCTCCTCCTGATCCTCGATGCTCCTCCTCCTCACTCTCCTTCTGCACCTCACCAGTGTATGAGTTGACGTTGACCCCCTTACGCGGATGTCCTGTCCTGTCCTTCTCCTCCTCCTCCTCCTCCTCCTCGTCCTCGTCCCCCTCCTCCTCCTCCTCGTCGTCGTCGCCCTCCTCCCTATCACCATCCTCCTCCTCCTCCTCCTCCTCCTCCTCCTCCTCCCCCTCCTCCTCCTCCTCCTCCTCCTCCTCCTCCACCCAGACTCGATCCACACCCCTCCTCCCCTCCTGCTCCCGCCCTCCTCCCGAACGAGAGCCGGATGCCGCTGCCAAAGGGCCCCAAAAGGCGAGCAGAGAACGGCACGTCGGCCGCGGGCGGCCCCCGCAGAAGGGGGACGCGCCGCATGCTCTCCCCGAGGCCCCGGGAGGCCTCTGGAGATCCCCCAGGGACCTCCGGGGGTCAGGCTTCGGGGCGGCAGCACGCAGACCAACTCCTGACACGGCCAGACGTGGGACAAACGAGAATCCTTCAAGAACGATGAGACGCTCCGCCGGCCAGAACACACAGAACATCCAAGGGTGCCTGCCCAGGATGCAGGATGCACAGGAGCATCCAACAAGTACGAAGAACCTCAAGTAGGGCACACTCCCCGACTCGACCTCGATCTTATACCAGGGTCCGACCGCGGGGGGACACTGCGGGCCCCATACGGAGGGCCCCATACGGAGGGGGGTTTCACCTGAAACTGCCTGGCAATTCACTCACAGACGAGGCTCCCGCCTGAGACCTCCTCCATACTCAAGCTTGAAGAGGCCCACAGTGGCAATACATACAGGATTCCGATGACCCCCTCGGATTGATGACATGAGCTGCGGGCCCAATATGGAGGGAATGTCCACCTGAGACTTCCTCGCAATTTACTCACAGACAAGGCTCCAGCCTGAGACGTCCTCCATTCTCAAGCTCGAAGAAGCCAAACATGACCACAGTGATAGGGAGGGGGCTCCTGCCTGAGGCTTCCTTGCAACTCACTTACAGACGAAGTTCCCGCTGGAGATTTCTTCTATATTCAAGCTTGAAGAGGCTACGCCAGTTACAAGTTTACGAGATTCTGACGATACTGATGATGCTGTTGATTGGTGATGGTCATGTTGATGATACTGATGAAGATGATGATGATGATGATGATGATGATGATGATGATGATGATGATGATGATGATGATGATGATGATGATGATGTTGCGCATCACAATGAGGGTGGTGATCAGGATGCTGCTGATGACGATGGTGATGCTTACAATGATGATGAAGAGGAGGAGGAGGAAACGGATGATGGTGATGATCATGCTGCTCATGATGATGATGTTGCTAGTAATGATGGTGATGATGAGGATAAGGCTGATGACGATGATGGTTATTCTGATGATGCCGACGGTAACGATGATCAAGCTGACGATGACGATGATGATGATGATGCTGGTGGTGGCGATGACGATGACAGTGTTGTTAATGATGTTTAGGATGCTGAGGTTGATGATGATGTCGATGGTGATGACGAAGATGATGCTACTGGAAATGATAATGATGATGGTGATGATGATGACGAAGATGGTGATGATGATGATGATGATGATGATGATGATGATGATGATGATGATGATGATGATGATGATGATGATGATGGTGGTGGTGGTGATGATGAGGGGAAAAAGAAAACCACATCACCACCTGAGCAATCGACAAGACTATATCTGCGGCATGTTTCGAGCCGGATCGATCTGCGAGGGTCCTGCGCCAGAACTACAGCAGTAGCGCACAGGGTCGTTCAATCTGTAGAGGGCCCTGGGGCCTGGCCACGGCCCAGGGAGCGCAGGCAAAGGAATCTCTTTCCTCCAGGACCTCCTGTGCTCTACGGCGGATATGGGTGCCCCGATCGGCTCTGGCTGCCGCGCTAGGGCCCCTGGGGGAAGCTGAAGGAGGCATGCGGGTCATGGCATCCAGGGGTGGCCCGGGGCTCTCCCCGACTTCCAGCGCCACTTCAAGGGCGTAGAACAACTGCACCACCACAACCATCGCAAGGAGCCAGGAAGGGTCCTCTCGGTGCTGCGGTCCCTCTATTTGGCGGCGCCCCGATCGAGACATCTCCGACCTCAGTGGAACTCATCGATGGAGGTGGCCCGCTGGTGGTGCTGCTATCGCTTCTCCTCCTCCTCCCAACGTCTTGAACAAATCAAGGCGGGGAAGTGCTACGTTTTTGCCCTCGGCCCACGAGGACCAATGCGGGAGCTTGCCGGAGGGCTTCGGAAGGCTTATGAGCGCTTCAGGCTCTTCCTAGATCTACTGGGGCGTCCAGAATTTTGTTTGTGGACCTCCACGGAGACCTTCAGTGGACCTCCAGTGCGGAAGCAAACAACATGTACCAGGGGCATGCCTTCCACATTCTTCTCTTTCTGCCAGCCTGCCCCTCCTCCTCCCAGGCGAAGTAAAAATCACACGCAAGCGCGAAGGAACTTCCTTTGCACCCAGAGTAGTAGGAGGAGGAGGAGGAGGAGGAGGAGGAGGAGGAGGAGGAAAGGGAGGGGTAAGGCAGAGGCGGGGGAGGTCGCAAAGGGGGGATTAGGGGGAATGGGGAGGAGGAAGGGGGCGAAGGTATAGAACCGATGAGCAACATGAACGTTCTGACTGGATAGCAGCTGGCTCCAAGGCCTACGGTTTATTGCCTTGCGCCCTCAGGCTAAAGGGGCCGTCGTGTCGGCGCGGGGGGGGTGCTGCACGGATTCTGTGATTTAAGCCAATGGGACCCTCTATCCCAACTGTCCCCTCTCCGGCCCTGGGAACTCCCCGGGAATGCCTGAGTCGGAGGGGCCGGACCGCTCCCCGCACAGAACTTGGGAACGACGGCAATCGAGACGCGGGACCGACAAACGGCGAAGCGCAGCACCAACGGCAAGCGCGGACCGGAACCGACGACGGCGAATCGGAACAGCTAGAACCTGGCCCTCCCGAAACAAGTCAGAACGAACGTCTAAGTGCAAGCGCTGTTCGGGGCAAATCATGGGGAGCCAGAAGCACCCCCCTCGCTGACGAACGCGCAGCAGCGGTGAAGGGCAAAAAAGCAGCGATGAACCGCAAGGCAGCGCAGACGAAAGCAGCCCAGAGAGCGGGATGGAATGGAGACATGTGGATCGCCCGCCCCTCCCTCTGGACTCACACAGCCCCGTTCCGTGGCCGCACTCAGCAAGCTGGGCCGGATTCCATCGGAGCCATGGCAGAGCGCGCAACGACGCAGAGCCCCTGGTTCCTTGCGTCGCGCTGTGGAGCGAGTACTCTTTTTCGAGCAATGCAGCACGAGAGCGAAGGAACTCGGGACCTTGTCCACGGAGGCGCCTTACACCCGCTGCATTCCTGGCCAACCGCCAGAAATACAACCACAGAGGGTATTGCATTCGCTGGCACAATGAACACGGCCAGCTCTGACCAAGCATTCACACTGTGCCTAAACCCAGACCCCGTGGCCTTCCTGCGAGAAGGCTGCGACGGACGCCACCCAAATCCAGCGACCCTGTCGGCGTGTGGAAGACGCATCCCGGTGTCGTCGTCTTGCGTGGATCACCGTCGTCGTCATCGTCGTCGTCATCGTCCTCCTCCTCCTCCTCCTCCTCCTCCTTATCTCTCCTCCTCCTCCTCCTCCTCCTTTTGCTCCTCCTCCTCCTCCTCCTCCTCCTCCTCCTCCTCCTCCTCCTCCTCCTCCTCCTCCCCTCCTCCTCCTCCTCCCTCCTCCTCCTCCTCCTCCTCCTCCTCCTCCTCCTCCTCCTCCTCCTCCTCCCTCCTCCTCCTCCTCCCTCCTCCTCCTCCTCCTCCTCCTCCTCCTCCTCCTCCTCCTCCGCCCTCCTCCGCCCTCCTCCTCCTTCCTCCTCCTCCTCCTCCTCCTCCTCCTCCTCCTCCTCCTCCTCCTCCTTCTCCTCCCCTTCTTCCTCTTTCTCCTCCTCCTACTCCTCCTCCTCCTCCCTTTCCTCCTCCTCCTCTCCTCCTCCTCCTCCTCCTCCTCCTCCTCCTCCCTCCTCCTCCTCCTCCTCCTCCTCCTCCTCCTCCTCCCTCCTCCTCCTCGTCCTCGTCCTCGTCCTCCTCCTCCTCCTCCTTCTCCTCCTCCTCCTCCTCCTCCTCGTCCCCTTCCTCCTCCTCCTTCTTCTCCTCCTCCTCCTCCTCCGACTCATCCGCCACGTCTTTATTTACCTCCGACGTCTTATTGCGCATCCCGTCACCCTCGAGGGCCGAGGTATCCAGGGTCGGCGGCACTGGCCGTAAGGCCTGAGCAATAGACATTCGTCAGGCCACTCGGCACGCGAGCAATCCAGTCCCTGCAAGCAGCGCAGCATATACCAGACACTATCCTGTTGACCATCACGAGGCAATGGTGGCCAAATCGTCTGCACCGCTTGCAGAAAAAAGGCAAGGGCTTGGGAACGCAATGACGGTCAGGCTCACAAGCGGCACAGCCTACCAGAACAAAAAAACAAAATATGGTACTTTGGTATGGGGCGAGCGCGCCTTTCGTGTTGATTTTAAGGCGTGGCAAATTGTCGGTACGTCGGTAGATGTCCGGGGACAAGAAGGAGCTCCTACCGATGGCTGCCCATGTCTCAAAGCAGAGCAGAACTGCACCTCAGTAGTCGTGAAGCCCAATTGGGATACCGACGTCCCAAGGATCAACTAGTCAGGCTGGCCAGGACATCCCGAGCTCCAGGCAACATACATGCTGCCCAACGCCACCGCACGTGCATACTGTCGACTTGCCATAGGCGACCGGGCAAGACCCTTAGTCGGTCCATCGGCACTGACATCGACTCTGCGAGTTTACGACTTGGAGGTGGCAGAGGTGGCAGGTGCCCGAGGGGACGCTTGGTTCAATCCCAGTATTCCCCCACATCTATCTATCTCATCCTGCAGCATTCCAAACCACATGGCTCATTGGCGCTGGATCGTCGTTTTCCTGTGGACTTCTACGAATCCTTCTGGGGGCCTGGGCCGCATCCTGGAGCCGCCGTGCGGACTCCTGTGGCCTCTCCCTCCTCCCCCGTTGGCCACTGGAGGCGCGCACAAAGGCACACAGAGGTGGCCCGAGGGGGGGGCCTTCTGCGCAGACCAGGTGGGCGGTTTCACCGAAGCCCTCCCGGCTTCCCCTGCCTAGCGCGTGCGACTAGCGGCCACTGGCGGCCACTCAGCTGCCATTTAGCGGTCACTAGCGGCCACGAGCGGCCACTTAGCGGCCACTAAAGGCCATTTAGCAGCCATCTAGTGGTCACTGACGGCCATTTAGCGGCCACTAGCGGCTACTAGCGGCCACGTAGCGGCACTTAGTGGCCACTTGAGGCCACTAGCTTCTTGTAGTGCGGCCTGGCGCACGAAAGAGACCGCCGACCCCATCGGAACCACAAGCGCTCGAGCCGCTAAGTGCCACGATCCTAAAAGAAAACCGAAATCGCATTCCATTATACAGTCTACACTTCCCCAAATTGGCCACATTAAGCACACCCCTCACACGCTTCGTGGCCCCAGAGGGAGCTCCACCGAAGGCCCCAGCGGCAGGGTCCGCATGGCGTACCCGCACCCCGTTCAGTGCACCCTCAGACGTTTCGTGGCCCCAGAGGGAGCTCCACCGAAGGCCCCAGCGGCAGGGTCCGCATGCCGCACCCGCACTCGATTCGGCAAACCCCTTACATGTTTCGTGGCCCCGAAGGGAGGTCCACCGAAGGCCCCAGCGGCACGGTCTGAATGCTACCCAACACCACAAACGGGTGGACAAAAGCATACGGTACCGCTACTCCCCGGACCTCTCCCAGGGTGCGTTCTGACCAGGATTTCGAGGCGAATCCAGCGGCGGCGACGAGGGCCTCCCAGGAGGACCACACATGGGAGAACGAGGGAGGGGCCGCGGCATGGCTATACACTGTCCTCCTCGGAGCGAGGGCCGCGGGAGGCCGCACGCGGCCAGAAGCCTTCCTTCGCGACGCCGCGCCTGTCTGGGGGCCCTCCTTCGGGGATGGACAGAACCCCCTTTAGCAAAACGTGGTTTAGTGAAAACGCCCTCGGGCCCAAACCTGGCGGGCGCAGGCCTGGAAAATAACGGAGGCGGCGCCCTCTCGAGAACCAAAACGGACAATTCACTAATCGACGTGTCAGGGTGGGGGTTCTGTCCACCCTGCTCTTGACGGCGCGCCGAGGCCCGCGCCCAGGACCTGGGGGGCCCTCGAGAGGTCCGCCCTGGCCTCGCGGCGGGCACGGGCAGGACGTTACGAACGAACAACACACACAGGGGAGGCGGATGGGGTCTACGGGTGCGCGTGGTCGCAGGAGGGTCCCCGCTCGAGCGGGAGCCTCTCCCGGCGTCAGACATCCCGCACCCATACCCCCATAGCCAGTCCTGCTCCCTACGGACCCCCCCATGGGCACGCGGTTGTGCTGCTCGCTCGTCAGGACGCGGGTCCACGTAGGATCAAAAGAGGGCCGAGGATCTCCCCAGGCCGCCTCGAGCCATGAAAAAATCACGCCGGACAATTTCTCGCTATCTTCAGCCTCTGGTGGCACGTACCGGGCCTCAAGGTCGTCAAAAAACGACTCGGGACGAGAAACCGGTCCTGGGGAATGGGTATAGACTTCTGGGGGGCGACGTTCTGACAAAAACACACATGGCGTTTTATAAAGAAAGCTACCGGCCCGTCTGGCACACCCTACATCCGCGGCTGCCAGGCCCAAAGCGCGCCAGTGCTCCCTGGGTGTCCCGCCTCGCGTCTTCCACGAGTGAAGTCTACACGTACTGCAGCCGCCAGGCCCCGAGGGGTTCAGTGCTCCCTGCGGATCCCGCCTCACGTTCTCGGGTGGGGAGATCGCTCACCCGAGGCCTCCAGACTCTGATCGGCGGCGAGCGAGGGGGAGCACTGAGACATAGAATGACTCCTCAGACGGCGGCCGGGCCTCGGGGAAGGCTTAGAAGAATATTCAAAGGCTGGGGGACTGCCGAGCCTTCTGAGAAGGCCCGCCCCGTCTCACTGCCCCCTCGCTCGCCGTCGATTCGACGGGCAGGAAAGTGGATCCGGGGGAGATCCGACTCAACCCTGTCGCCAATCTGCGTCCAGGTGGCACCCACCCTGAGGCCGGCAGCCGGCGGCCAAGAGCACGACGCGGTCAATGTGGTGTTCTGTGAGAAGCTCATGCCTGCAAGGCTATAACGGTGCCAGGAAGGCCTGTCAACGGCCCAAGAGGCGACCGAGATGGCCCAAGAGCCCTGCGAAACCGATCGGGCATGAACAAGCCGCTAAGGCTGCCAAAGAGGCTCCAGGGATGGCCAATGAAACCTCCAAGCTGTGCGAAGACGCCCCCAGGAAGGCCCACGAGGCCGTTCAGACAGCGCCGAATAATACAATACTTTCCAGAACCCACAAGCCCCGAAGAAACATCGTGTCCCGACTGTCCCTAGCTGGTTCCGCAGCGGGTTGGGAAGCACGCGGTCCAGCAGGTTGCCCAACATTTGACCCGACGCTTTGCCGCCCAAGCGCTTCCCTAAAAAGGCGGGGAGGGGCGACTGTGACACATCTGGGGAAATGATTGGCCCGACCCCCTCCCGCACCAAGACGCTGGAAACCCACATGGCTTGATCAACATGCGGAACATGCGGAGGCCATGTGCTGGATACGCATGCTCAAGGGCGGCGTACCCATGCCGATCGCTAGAAAGACCTCCAACCACACATTCGTATCCAGCTCCCGCCCAAACCGACCATGCCCAGTGTATCCAGCTTCCGGGCAATCTCACCGCAGCGTGGCGTGGACACGCCAGGATTGGCTGGTCGCCTTCATCGGTCATTTATAGATTCCGAAAAGCCTCTCCAGTGTCGCTATAGCGCCGCCGACACTGTCGCCGTGAAGCCGCCGCCGCCCCGAGTAGACGCATACACCGACTTGCCAAGATGGCTTCAATTTTGCTTCCCACCACAGAAGGGGTCCAAGAGGCCACCAAGGAAATTGAAGAGGCTCCGCGAGAAACCCAACAGGCCCCAATATTGCTTTACCCTCTCCGAAGAAGACCCCAAATCTGTTCCGAAAGCGAAGGATGTCGGGACAGAAAACAGGCAAACCGCTTGAGGCATCCCCACAAGACGGCCGCGAACGGGGCGTGCGTGAGTCTCAGCATGAGTAAGTCTGAGTAGGAGTTGGTCTGGATATGAATAGGTCTGAGCAGCAGCATTTTTGTGTGTGAATAAATCTGGTTATGAGTAAGCCTGAGAGTGAATCAGAATGTGTATGCGTAAGTCTGGGTATAAGGAGGAGAGGGGAGGAAAAGGGGAAAATGAAGGAGGAGTAGGAGGCGTCCAAGTCATAACAAGAACCCCATCTTGGGATATGGGGAAAACTGAAGGCCTGCAATCGTTCCTGGAGCCATCTTGGAACCCTCTGTGGCTGGCCTGGGGCCTGTTGGAGCCCACAGGGGAATGATCACAAAGCTCTTTCCGAGGTTCTCAAAAATGTCTGAGTCCATGGCGGCGGGCTCCCAGGCCCAGGACGCGGAGACCCGGGTAAAAACACATGGTGAATGAGGGCCGGCACCCACTCTCGCAGCCATCTTGGGGCCCTTGTGGGCTAGCCTGGAGTCTGCTGGAGGCCTCTGGGAAATAGACCAGGGGCTATGTCCGTGGGCCTTCAAGATGTCTGGGCCCATCGTTGCGACCTCGGAGGCCGGAGGCACCGAAACCCTGCAGAAACACAAGAAAAATGAAAGCCAGCAGTCGTTCCTGGAGCCGTCTTGGAGCCCTCGTGGGCTGCCCTGGAGCCTGTTGGAGCCCTCTGCGGAATGGTCGTGGAGCCCGCGCCGAGGATCTGGAAAATGTCTGGGGCCATCGCGGCGGCCTTCGAGGCCCGGGGCGCCGAAACCTTGTAACAACAAATGGAAAATGAGCCCCGGTACTCCCATGGAAGGTCGAGGTAACTGTTTTCGGGCCCCTGGCCTGCCCCCCTGTTATAGACATATATATATATATATGTATGTATATATATATATATATATGTGTGTATGAATATATATATCTATATATATATATATATATATATATATATTTATACATTCATATACATATATATATATATATATATATATACTTATGGATATATATATATACACATGTGATACAGAAACATGTAGATATGCGTGCCTATACTACTGTGGCACTGGATGGCCTTAGACAGCTGGGGATCAAGACGGCGGTACGAGATAGAAAACACTTATATATATAAGCTTCCCGAGATCGTTAACCGTAGCTCCTACTTAGCTCCCGAAGCGACGGGAACGCGCGCGCGGGATGGGCAACGTCGAACCCGCGGCGGCGACGCGCCGAATGAAACCACGGCCCCGCGCGCCAGTAAATCAACAAGGAATGCCGCGCGGGTTCTGCACGCGACGCCACGGCGATGGTCGCGGCGCGGTTCTGCACGCGACACACCAAAATGCCTCTTTCGCCTTTCCCTCCTTAGCCCCTTCACCAGCCTTCCCCTTCCTCGTCTCGGCCCCTCCCCTTCCTCCTCCTCCTCCTCCTCCTCTTCCTCCTCCTCCTCCTCCTCCTCCTCCTCCTCCTCCGCATCATCATCATCATCATCATCATCATCATCATCACCATCATCATCATCATCATCATCATCATCCTCATCATCATCATCATCATCCTCTTTCGCCCGACCTCCCCCCCCACTAATTACCCGTCGCGCGCCCGTCTCGCCGTGCCGCGGCGGCGCCTTCTCCTGCCGCAAACCCCTCGCCCGCCGCTCCCGCCCCTTCCCCGTCGCCGTCGTTGTCTTCCTCCGCCGCCCCCGCACCCTCCTCCTCCTGCTCGCTGCTCGCCCGCTTCCCTCCTCCTCCTCCTCCTCCTCCTCCTCCTCCTCCTCCTCCTCCCCATGCATTCCCCGTCCTCCTCCTCCTCCCCCTCCCCTCCTCCTCCTCTTCTTCGCCCCCCCTCATCCCCCGCGCCCATCGTTCGCGCTGGGCCTGGCCGCGCCGGCGCGCATCGCGCATTCGGGCCCAGCCGCGCCAGAGCGTTCATCGTCGGCCTGACTACGCCGGCGCGCTGCATTGATTAATTTTGGCCCGGCCGCGCCGGCGCGCTTCCCAAATCAGGCCAGGGCCGCGCCGGCGTATTTTTTGAAAATCCAAACCGGCCGCGCCGGCACCAGCGGACCCCGCGGCCGCCGGAGGTGCTCCGGCCAGCCGCCGGCGGGCCCTAGCCGGGGGGGCCCCCGGCCAACCCCGGCGATCCGCCGGCGGGCCCGGAGGGCGCCCCGGCGAGCCGAGAAGGAATTCCGATATAGGTTTTGTAGATCATCGAGATCGATTTTTCTAGCTTTTTAAAATTAAACTACCCAGCCCATCAATTCTCTTAAAGTTTAGAGGTACCACTAAAATAATTAGTTCCCAACTAAAAAAATTAGTGGTGAACTGCTCAATGTAGAATACCACTAAAAAATAGTGGTATGCGCAAGTATAACGAATATATTGCGAATCGATAGTTTTATTCGAAATCATCACAGGAGTGAGCGCGCGGGCCACTTCAATGCAACATGAATTACATTGGGGCGATCTCGGGACAATCGTGTTATGACTGAAAAACTTGTTGTAAGCAGTGAGGTGCATGCTGCGCAAGCTGTGTGCGGCAGCCGCGGGCCCTCGCGTATCTCGCCATCGCTATGCTGTCCAAACTGTTGCGTAGCATGTTCGATGAATGCCACCTATCTTGAAAAGCTGTTTCACGTTGGCGTGAAGCAGATGTTTCGTTCAGCCCCGTCGCTCTTTGCGTCGCAGGCGTGGTGCTTCGCAGGTCTGGCGTTCATGTTTGAACGCCTCAGCGTGCTGTGGTTGGGGTTTCGGTTCATGTCTTTCCCTGTGATAGCGCTTGGTTTGGCAGGAGGCCTCCTGAGGGCTCAATTTAGCTGGTTCGTTGTGTGCGCCTTGCGTCTGCGTGCGATGGCCCGCCCGCCGCGTTCCAACAAAAAAAAAAAAGTCGTCCTCCTCCTCTTCCTTCTCCTCCTCCTCCTCCTCCTCCTCCTCCACCTCCTCCTCCTCCTCCTCCTCCTCCTCCTCCTCACTCTCCTCCTCCCCCTCCTCCTCTCCCCCCCTCCCTCCTGCATCATCCCCCCCTCGTCGTCCTCCTTGTCCTTCTCCTCCTCCTTCTACTTCTCGCCTCCTCCTTCCTCGTCCTCCTCCCCCATCCCCCTCTCGTGGCCCTTCCTCCGATCCTCCTCCTCGTCCTCGTCCTTCTCCTCCTCCTCCTCCTCCTCCTCCTCCTCCTCCTCCTCCTCCTCAGTAGGAGTTCCAACGGAGCAGGGGTCCTCTTAGTAACAGCGGGGGGTAGCGGAGGCAGGCGGGAAGCCAGAATATGTGAGAAGAGACGGACAGGATAACTATACAGCAGCATGAGCATGATCAATGTTTTTCTCTGCAGCCGCAAGTGAGTACCACAGTGCCAACATGCTATATTCTGTACTTCTCAATAGCAGACCTGTGAATAAACCTACTGTTCTGAGAGCAATTCGAAACGCTTTCGACACATGTTCCAATCATATCCTCGTCTTCGTAATTCCAATTCTCACGAGGATTGCCGTGGACAATGTAGTCCTCTTCAGCTAGGTGAATAAATATATGATGTTTGGGGTATGGCTTAAAAGCAATGAAGGATTTCGGCCGGCCTGGGTGTCTGGACAGTTCCATGTATAGGGTCACGTGCTGCCTTGCCAAACGCCCCAAACGAACGGCCATGAACTCGCCATCCACTGGTTCCTCACGCGACCTCGGAAGTTCTCTGTACCAGCGAACCATGGAATCCAAACATTGGAAAACTAACATCTGATATGGGGTCTCAGCTGGAAATATGTATTCCAGCACATAGTGAAGAACGTGCGCCATGAGCCGAGAATCCGATGCTTTGAGTTTGAGCTTGACCCCCTTTTCGCCTTTAGCTTGGATCATCCCCCAAGTCAGTTTGTTCAAGGGTGGTTTGCTGTATTTTAAACTCTTGCTCGCCATTTTCACGAAACCTGCGATGTCAGCCAACGTTTCATCTGGGCGAGTTCTCAGGCCGCCGATTCGACGAAAGAGCTCCATAACGATATTTCCGTTCAGGTATTGTGTGATCCCGAGGTCGCACACATGCATGACGTCACAAACAATGTATGGCAAAATGAAGCCTGGTGTAGTCCAGAACACTGACATGTACTTCCCTTGTTCAAAGATCTCTCGCATGTGCTGTCCATGATCTTTGCATGTCGATCTCCATTTAGCATGCTCGGTCGCATCGGTGAAAGGGCAGGCGGCACTTTGGGCGGCACCACATCTGAAGCACATCTGTTTGGAAGGACCTTCGCCGCGCCAGCCCCTGAGGCCGATGACCTTTTTGAGCCAGTCCCAATCAAATCTGCCTTGAATGACCCCACCTCTACGCGACAGCACGGCACCCTGAGCAGCCAAGGCCGCTCGCTTGCTGTCGCCGCGAAATGCAGATTGAGAGAACGGGGTGCCATCATGTCGCTTGGCAGGATATCTACCAGTGAGCCACACCCGAAAAGACCAAGACAGAACTCGCCAGATGCTGTCGTACGTGCATCTGCCTTTGCAGCCACAGTTGCAATACAGAAAACCAGGAACAACGCAAACCCAATATCGTTTTTTTTTTTTTTTCTCAGCTTTTGTACTTATGCAGTTCCACAGCACCATCAATAATTTGTCATTGCTCGTGAAGGGCGCCTCGTCGCCCCAAAGGCCGACCGCGACTATGTTTTGATGATCTGCAGCCCCAACGCGATCGGCCCATTCTCGTCTTGTTTTGCATCCAGAGGCCATGTCAGGGAAGTCGGCCCAGCTCGCTGGATCGTCGCTGGCGAAGGCTTCGAACATCTCGTAGGGAAGCAAGAAAAATACCTTGTCTTGAATTTTGCACTGGCGGTCGTAGTCCCACAGGTCAACGTATGCCTCGTGGACATCAGGATGCTGCGAGCCGCGCCGATATCGATTGATCACCGTGCGATGTGAATTACCAGCGTGGGGGGATACTGATCGGCCAGACATCTCCCTGATCTCTTCCACACCTTTCGCTGAGAGCTGTCCACTCTTGAACCGTTTTACAGCGAAGTCTTCGATCTGGTCAGCGAGAGTGCCCGCATCGCCTGGAGCACAACACCTGCGGGGCGCATCAATGCCAAGGGATTGGCGCATGCCTTGGCATGGGGGCATCAAGATGGCACAAAGGCTGAGTACCATAAACATATCCCTTGCGAATTTCTTTGGGCCAAAATGGGCTAGCAACACCGAGGAGGAGGAGGAGGAGGAGGGGGGAGTAGCAGCAGCCGCAGCAGCAGGAGCGAGGTGAGAGCAATAGGGCCCACAGTAGCCATTGAGATATTGCAGCGTTCGCTAGCTCGCATGGGATCGGATATTGGGGGAAGGGCCTGGCTCAATAGTTTTCCGATTTGGATTGTGCATTGCATTGATGTGTTGGTCCTCTGGGAGTGGCTGCCTTTCTCCCCCCTCACTCTCTGCGCGCCGCTGCGACCTGCGCATGGACTTTACGGGGTGCGCACGGGGCCTTCGGGGGGGCCCCCTCCTCCTCTTACTCCTCCGCATATTGCTTCTCTTGGTGCTTTCAAACTTGCTTCGATAAACATAGAGAACAAACATGTTACATCTCCTCCTCAACCTCTTCTTCCTCCTCCTCCTCCTACTCCTCCTCCTCCTCCTCCTCATCATCATTATCATCATCATTCCTCCTCCTCATCCTCCTCCACCCTCCATCCTTCTCCCTCTCATCATCCACTCGGGTCCTCTCGTCATCCTAATTGCCCTCGCCCTACTCGCTCTCTCTCTCTCTCTAGCTCTATCCACCCCCCCTTCTGACTGGGGCTCTGCTTTGATTGTGCCTGGAAGGCCGGCCTTTAAGGGCTTTGAGGGTTCTCCTTGAGGGGCTTGGAGGGGCCTCCCAGGAGTGCACGACAGTGGCGACAGTTGCGCAGATCGCTCTTGAGGACCTTGAGGGGTCTGCCTCGAGGGGCCTCGGGGAGCCTTGAGCGACGAAGATGACCTTGATGCTCATCTCTTGCTGTCGACCTTGAATGGCCAGGAGCGGCCCCGAGAGAGGCATGTGCTGGGTTCGCATGACCCGTAGTTTTCTGGCAAACTCACCACAGCGGACACCCGTGCCGTTCGGCCACGCTGCGTTGGATGATGTAACCCAAAACGTAACAGGGTCGCCTATCACTCGAACTGAAATGAACAGTGATCCAGCAAGCAAGTGTCGGGAAGCCCTCGGGATCTGATGTTCGGGCTGATCTAGTTACTTCTTGGGCTTGGCGAAGTCGGCGAGGACGGACTTCTTGTAGTGCTTGTATGCGGTATCGACGGCTGACATCCTCGTCTCGAGCGCTGCTTTCTTCGTGTTGGCCGCCTCGACGCTGACATTGCCCATGTTGATCACGTCTGCCCACATGGTGAAGATCTCCTCTGCGCTGTCCTTCTGCGCCTTGGTCTGGGCCTGGAGGTACCTCAAGGGGCCGTCGCCCCACTGCGTCTTCGCAGCGAGGCGGTCCTCGACGGCCCGCACCTCGGACAATTCCTTGGTCATCTTGTCGTGCTGGATCTTGGCTTTCTTGGCCTGGTCGCGGAGCAATTCGTTCGCTTCTGCGACGAGCTTCTCATCCTCGATGGCCTTCTTCTGCTCAGGGGTTAGGGGTTCTTCCTCATTGGCATCAGCTGGTGGCGGCGCTGGCTTCTGGCCACTGCCGCTGCTGCCCGTGGTCTTGCGCTTCTTCGAGGAGACCTGCGGGACTGTGAACGAGTAGCTGTTCTCCATCATCGTTTTCAGGTCCTCCACTTGGTGGGCCTCGAGCGAAGACTCCGTGGTGACCGCGACCGACTCCTTCTTCTCCTTCTCCCAGGAGTCCTGGACGTTGATCGGGCAGTAGTACTGCTTCACTCCTTGCTCGGCCAAGAGAGGGCTCTCGTGCATGCGCTCAGGAAACTCCTTGCCCTCGCACCTCAGCTTAGCATGCTCGACGTTGTTGCGACCCTTGGGCCCTCCGAACTCATCGATCGCCATCCAGGCCTTAGCCCCCGACTCCCTGGAGATGCTGCTGCGGCTGGCGCCGTTGCGCACGAGGGGGCCTCCCGTCGCAGGATCCACAAGAAACGCCGCGAGCCACTCGCGACGGTCCTCATCATCTTTCAATTTTGAATATTCCACATGCTTCTCTGCGTAACACGTCTTCAACGTCGTGTTGAGGGCCGAGAAGGCCCGCGTGCGAAGGCTCCGCTCCGCGCCCGCGATGCCCTCTGTCGTGATGGCGCCGCCCTCCGAGAGGAACTGGCGCTTCAGATCCTCGCATGCGCTGGGGAGCTGCCCAGGCCTGCGCTTTGGAGGCATTGCAGAACGAAACCCTAGGTTGGATTGCAGAACGTGTTTGAAGAACCCAAATGGCTACGGAGTGGGGAGGTCTCGGCGGGGGGCAGCACTGAACGAAGGCAGATCATTTTAAGGCCCAGAGGGGCCGTCATCCTTTTAAGGTTGGTGTTGTTGGGGTGGTTGACATAATTCTTGACGCTTCGCGCATCCCCCCCAGCCCATCCAGAACCGATCAGCAGGGGAATTGCTGAATCAGGGGCGGCAGGACGCATGCAGTGGCGCAGCCGTCTTCGAGAAAACAAGGATCGCAAACAGCTCCCCGCATGGAAGTTTAAGATGAAAATCAGTGCGAGCTGCGATGGTGTTTCGATGAGGGGTGAGGGGTGTTTCGATGACTCGTACTGGTTGTTGCATTATTGACTTGTATATTAAGCTCGTGTGCGTTCCGAAACTTGGAGGCATCTTGGGGCTCTCTTGGGATTCTCTTGGGCCCCTCTTGTGGCCTCCTGGGGCTCTTTCTTGGGGCTCTCTTGAGGTCATCTTAGGGCCTTCTTGGGGCTTTTTGGAGCTCTTTTGGGGCGTCTTGGGGCCCTCTTGGGGCTCTCTTGGGTGGTCTGGGGGCCTTCTTGGGGCTCTTTTGGGATGCCTGACGGGCCTCTTGGGGCGCCGTCCTGGACCCTTTCGATACAAAAAGGGGCGCCCTTAATTCGGACCCCCCCCCCTCCATCGGAGGCTCAAGAGTGCCGTCCTGGGGCCCTCTTAGGCCGTTCTTGGAGCGCTCTCGGGCGCTCGTGAGGCCGTCTTGTAACCCTCTTGGACCCCCCTTGGGGCAATCTTGGACCGTCTTGGGGCCATCTTTAGGCCTCGAGAGCCCATCGGAGGCAAAAAAGCGAGAATGCAAACAAACAGTGGTTTTCCTTAAGTTTGAAACCGTCTTGGGGCCGTCTTGAGGCCTTTTGGACGTGCGTCGGAGGCTATCTTGACCCATCTACCGCTATAGCTTGGGCCATCTTGGAGGCCATCTTGCGCTCTCTGAGGCCCTCTTGGAG